CCTATTGGTGACTTGGATGTGGGCGGAGTTAGATATGTACTTGATTAGTGGTAGCACGTTATTGTTAGCCATTAGCCGAAGCTAGCAGTTCAAGGCTAACGTCTTGTTAATGACCATAAACAATGGGGGGGGCGGTGGTATCGATACTTTTGAAAATGAGTATCGTATCCGGATACAACATTTTAGTATCGATACTTTTTTGAGTATCGATAGTTTTGACTACCCTACTCTTGGGTCATGGGGTTCCTCCGTCGTGGGGCCCCTCCGTTGTTGGGCTCATGTTTTTCGTAGGGATCCTCCGTTGTGGGGCCCACAGGGCTCAGGCCTCTCTGGGCCTACATCTGCTGTTGCTTGGCCCAAAAATAGAAGCATGGCGTGTTTCTTAAAAGAAACTTTCCAAAGACGTCTGCTTTTTTACTCATTTTTCTAACTTGCGGGTAAGATTGTTGGCGCTCAAGTGACCGAGATGTAACCGAGAGAATCCGGTCATTTTTCAAAATAAAAGATTTTACAAAACAAAAGATTATTCAGACTCGGAGAATAAATACAACGGAAACAATTAATTAGTACTTGGGTAGTTAGCGGCCCGGGGGTTGGGGACCACTGATCTAGATCTGAAGTTTTCAACAAGGGGTCCGCGACCCCTAGGTCGGTCCTGGAGGTACTGCATGGGGGTCGTGAAGGTTTTGGTTCATTACTTTTTTTTTTTATATACCCCCCCGCAATGTTTTCCCCTAATGTAAATGTCTTTAAATCCACATGAACATGACTTCAACAGGCTGTAGTAAACAGATAAATGGAGGCAGAAGATGTCTTCCAGTCATCAACACTCACATTCAGCCACACACAGGAGCTCTATCTATCTATCTATCTATCTATCTATCTATCTATCTATCTATCTATCTATCTATCTATCTATCTATCTATCTATCTATCTATCTATCTATCTATCTATCACACAGGAGCTCTTATAAGCTGGGCCCCGTTTCATTCACAACACCAGGAACCAGAACCAGATGTTTACAGTAAAACAGGAAGATATCAACTTGTGGATTATCTGAGGATCTTAGTACTGAATGCCCAATAACAAGGCACATTTACACACTATAGGACCAGTTTGACAGAACACAATAACAGACAATATACAGTGGGGGAAATAAGTATTTGACCCCTTGCTGATTTTGCATGTTTGCCCACTTACAAAGAATGCCTATTTTTCCTCATCAGATGGTTATCAATTTTTTTAAATTCATATGATGTGATTTTCTGGAATTTTCTTTGGGATTCTGTCCCTCATTGTTAGAATGTACATATGATTAAAGTTATAGATCGTTGCATTCTTTGTAAGTGGGCAAACCTGCCAAATCAGCAAGGGGTCAAATACTTATTTCCCCCACTGTATATCATTCGTGGTCCCCGCTCCATCTCTCCATCAGTTTAGGGATCCTTGGTCTGGAAAACCTTGAGGACCCCTGATCTGGAGGCCTTCTTAGCGGTTCCCTGAGCGGTCAGTGAGCCTCCCCTTCTGTCTTGCAGGTGGCGCCGGACTTCTTCGAGTACTTCCGGGCGCTGTACCCGGTCCTGCGCGCCGACCCCAGCCTCTGGTGCGTCTCGGCCTGGAACGATAACGGGCGGGACGCCCTGGTGGACCCGGCCAAGCCGGGGCTGCTCCACCGGACCGACTTCTTCCCCGGCCTGGGCTGGATGCTGCTGAGGGACATGTGGGCCGAGCTGGAGCCAAAATGGCCGCCGGCCTTCTGGGACGACTGGATGCGGCAGCCGGAGCAGCGGCGGGGCCGATCCTGCGTGCGGCCCGAGGTTTCCCGCACCATCACCTTCGGCCGGAAGGGGGTCAGCCTTGGCCAGTTCTTCGACCAGTACCTGCGCTACATCAAGCTGAACGCTGAGTTTGTGCCTTTCACCAAACACGACCTGTCTTACCTGCTGAAGGAAAAGTACGACGACGCCTTCGTCAAGGAGGTTTACGGCGCCACCCCCGTGAGGATCGAGGACCTGCAGCAGGGGGGCGGCCTCAGGGGGCCCGGCCCCTACAGGGTTCAGTACTCCAGCAGGGACAGCTTCAAGGTCTTTGCCCGGAACTTGGGCGTGATGGACGACCTGAAGTCGGGGGTTCCCCGGACAGGCTACAGGGGCGTGGTCAGCTTCCTGCACCGGGGCCGGAGGGTGTTCCTGGCCCCGCCCGAGGGCTGGACCCAGTACGACGTTAGCTGGAGCTAGCTGAGAACCGGCCAGACTGGGACTGGGACAGGAGGAAAGCCCAGACGAAGACCAAAGAACAGCGGACACCCTGAGGCTGGAGGCAACTGGACACGGAGATCTGGACACCAGGTCTGGGATCGTTCCCGAACAGCTTCACCCACTGACTTCTCCAGGCTCTGGACCCTAACGGAAACACCCCTAAACACTGTTTCAGAGCAGCTTCTGGCTATGTGCCTTGCTTTTCCGGGCCTGTTTTTGTATCGGATGATTTTTTTTTGTTGTTTTTTTTTTGTTTGCATTGTGATCATGCCACAGCTGTGAGTGGACACTGACCCGGGGACTGAGGGTGCACACAGGTAGAAAGCTAAAGTTATGCTTCAGACCTTTTGGGAAAGAGGGGGGAGGTCTTGGTCTGAATTTTGTGATCTGGAGCTGGTTGTAAAGTGGAGCCAGAGAGTCTGTGTGACTCTCAGTCTGGAGGGTTCAGAGATGCTCAGATGTCAGAGTCTGACCACTTAGCTTAGCTTCTCTAGACGGGAGCAGGTAACACCATATTTAACCAGCAGCGGGGGGGTGGTTGGTGGTGGTAGTGGGGGGTTATTGATCAGTCCAGGAAGGAATTCCCCAAATTCTCTGTCGGGATTAATGAACTAAATGAGTACAAGTTGTTCATAGTGAAGGAAGAAAATGAGAGTAGAAAGACTTTCGTAAAACCGACTTTGTTGAAGTAGACCTTTTGACCTTTGACCTGTCGCAGTCTGACTTTAGCGATGACCCACAGCAGGGCTGCTCGTGGTCGATTGTACTCAGTCGGGTTCAAGAACAGTCGACAGATGTTGTTTGTTGCAGAGACGATTATCAGCGTACTGTAATTAGCTTTGGGAGATTACTAGCTGGTTCCCATTTCTGTGTAGTGACGTGAGAAACCACTGCCTGAATTGTTTATAACTTTTAATACAGTATAAATAAAATCAACTATTTTGATATTTGTTCACTAGTTGAAGAAGTCTTTTCTGACTGATTGTGATGTTTGTCCACACTGAGACGGTTCTGCTCGAGGTTTCTGCCTGTTAAAAGGAAGTTTTTCCTTGCCTGTGTCGCCTAGTGCTTGCTCATGGTGGGAATTGTTGGGATTCTGTAATTAACTTCAGAGTAGGGTCTGACCTGCTCTGTTTGGAAAGCGCTGTGAGACAACTGTTGTTGTGATGTGGCGCTATATAAATAAAAAAAAAAAAAAAAGACATTGATCAGAGACCCAGAAGAGCTGAAACCCATCATCCTGTGGGTCCTCTGCAGATAAGTGGGCCTCCAACACCAAACGGGGGAAATATTTAGCTAAAACCCCACATGGGTAGTTTAAACTCCCCTGAATGCATCCTATTCATCCCAGTCCAGAGCTTGGGCTTTCAGGTTTCTGTGGCTTTCTGTCACTAATGTGTTGTTTTTTTCTCTTTGGCCTATTTAAAAAAACCTTAGTGGGTTTATGTGATCGCATTACTCTGAAGTCACAGGGTGTGACAGCCTGTCATGTGAGCAGTTCAGGGTTGTTTGTCCTGCAGAATAAGCTGAGATCAGCAGCTGCCTCTCGTCCGGCTTCCTGCTCCGCATCCTGTTTCCACACATCTGGAAGCAGACACCCTGTCGGCTCCGTGTATGACTTTACCCACAAGAACATCACACGCTGATGCAAAAGCTTTCCACACTTTGCTTTTAAAAGAGGTTTTTTTATAGCCCGAGCTGCCCGACATGAACGAAAGCAGTGAATAACACAACATTTCTGAAGTGGAAAGCTGTAACTGAATCCAAATGAATCCCACATGCTGGCTGTGTTATGAGGGCAGAGTTAGGAATTCCTCCTGCTGCTGGCAAAAGGTTTTTCCCAGAGCCAACAGGTCCCAGGACTCCTGCTCCCAGGCCAGATGTGCCCTAAATCTGTCCCTGGAAAACTGCCTTCAAATGAAAACCCTCCTATGCATGTGATTATTCAGTCTGTTATATTATTTGTTTGATCCATTTAAAATTTTATTTATTTATTTATTTGTTTTTACTTAACTCGTGTTTTCATCTTTTTAATTTCACCTCAAATTCAAATACGAAAAACTAAAAGGCAACAAAAACATTCAGTGTTTTGAAGGAGCTGCGAATTCTGTCACGTTATGACGTCACATTATGCGACGGCGGAGAGCGGTAGGACCCCGGAAAGCCGTCAGAGGAGGAACTGGAGCCGGACACGCGTGGTGTTGTTGTTGTCGGAAAAAAGAGAAAAACAGGTTAACATCTGTAACACAACTGGTGTTCTCACCACGCTTCAGACTCTAAAAAATTGTTTTTTTAATTTTCCGCTTCATATTTAGGAAAAGCGGCGGTTCGAGCCAACCCCGGGAAGCCTGATCAGAAAGCAGGATAGCTCAGATGTCGTGTTTCAGAGGGGATCCAAACTTCTGCCCGGAGTGTGGGAACGTCCTCCCGCTGCCCGGGGTTTCGGACACGGTCCGGTGCCCCCGGTGCTCCTTCCGCATCCCGGTGACAGGTGCTCCGGCCGGGGAACGCTTTCCTCATATCTAGGGATGGGGATCGTTAATATTTATCGAAATCGATACCTTTATCGATACTCCTTATTGATCCGAGTCTTTATGGATACCACTATCGATACTTTTCTGTTATTTGGTGGAAAGACGATGCGACAATATTTAGCAAATAAATAATTGTATTTTAAATTAAAATAAATTTTTAATAAATGTTGGCATCAGTAGTTTAATTATATATTCTAAAATAATTAGAGCAATATACAACTGTATTACTCATGTTTCTCGCCAAAAACTCAATTTCCCTTTTCTTTACGTTACACTTGAACGCATCATGATAACCTAATTGTCGTTTTACTGAGCCAATCTGAACACATCTGAAACTTTATTTACTTTTCAAGCTAACTAGCTTCTATGCTACCGATTACAACACGGATTAAACAATTGTAATAATAAAAAAACGACCAGACTCGATAGTGGTATCGATAAGCCCAAACGGTATTGATTTTTTGGGGTTTTGAAAAAAGTGGAACCGGGTCCTTGATAGAACCGGATTTCGATCCCCATCCCTACTCATAACAGACTAAAGTTGTGCTTGTTTTTCCAGAGTTTTCTGGCCAGGAGGTCCGGTCAGTGGTTGTTTTTAACCCCGCGGAGGAGTCCCAGGTGTCCCTCCGGGATGAGGAGGGCTCGGAGCTGAAGGGGCCCGTGGTAAGACCCACCTCTTTTCTTCTTCTTCTTCTTGATTTTATTGGCGGTTTGCAACAAACTTTAAGCAGCATTACCGCCACCTGCTGGTATGGAGTGTGGTTCGATATGGACTATCAACTTATATAAGTATTTGTATCTTCCTACTCCTACTCTTAATATATAATTTAACTAAATTAATTTCCTATTTATGTATACCTACATATTCTCATCCATTTTTATATATATCTTTATAATCCACCCCCCTAGATCATGCACCCATTCACACACAAACACCTATTTTAATCATATTCGACCCACCTCTTTTCTTTGGGCTTTTGGCTTTTGACACCATGGAGAGTGTTGATTTTATGTATACTCATGCATATTTTTAGCAGAATTTCTACTGTGTTTTTTATTTTTCTGGATATGTTTTTGTGCAGCACTTTGGAAAACCCCGTGTTTGTTTAAATTGTGCAATATCCTCCTGAGACCCAAAGAAAAAAAGTGTCTTCAAATTTATTTTTGTTGTGATTTTCCATGTATTTGGACCCAAAAAAGAACATTACAATTTAAATTAAAAAAAAAAAAATTTTAATTTTAATTTCATAGCATGTCCACTGTGGAGGACAACAGGACGATTTGCATGGGAAAATAAAACAGGCTTTAGATAATTAAATAATAAAAAAGAAGATGTCTTGAAAGGGATATTTACCTAAAAACTCTTAGGAAAAAAGTAAAGTTCTCAGCATGCAAACCTATCACATGGCACATCACTGGAAAGCCCAGGATGTCCTCTACAGAACACTATAGGGCTTGATAGGGTAACTCCAGATACTTAGGGGGGGTACAGGTGGACAAAATGTCCACTAGAATGGACATAAATGAATGGGCCGGGTCTCAGGAGGATATAAAATAAAGGGGGATTGGATTGGAAGAGGCCGTCTGCTGCCTGAGCTGGATACTCTCCTTAGTTATGGCCAAATTAAGCTCCATAAAGCATTAAAGCGTTCAATCCAATTGGTTCATGCATGTGTTGAAGCTTCACGGGGCTTCATTTTGCCTCTATTGTGCCATAAAGTGGACAATAAATGTAATCCGTACAGCGTGATTATAATGAGACTCTGGCTTTGGTGTCTGACGCATTAAATTAATTAATCAATTATGTTTGTGATGCTGCCTTCCAGGGGGACCCAGCCTCTCCCCATTGGTTTCTGGGATAGGCTCCAGTCCCCATTAGGGGATCAGCGTGTTAGTTTGGTTCTTTAGTTGGAAGCCTGAGAATAAACCAGAGCAGATCAAGAGTACAAATCTGACATTTATTGGTCACAAGCAGAGTAAAGCAGCTGGGCTCTCACAGACAAAGCTCCCGGAGGATCTCAGTCTGGAAGAGCCTGGATTTCCGGGTGTGATGGTCAGTTTTCCTCTGGGCCTCCAACAGGAGGACGAGTGTTATTGGCCAGTTAGCTCTGACAGGAACAGGCCAGGTCCTAATTCATGCAGGTTTGGGTGGAATGTGATAAGAAAGTGTGGATGTTGAGCTTGAAGACGAGTATCTACTGTAACAGAGAGAGGAGGAGGAGTAGAGAGTTTAACCCAAAAGTATAATTATAAAGGGAATAATATGAATCTAAAAGGAATAAGACAATCAGTCATTTACATGGATTAAGTTGTAGCATACTATGCTAAAGTGAGTAATTATAGCCCAATTCTAATAAGCGGTTACCATAATGGACCATAATGTCTTGATGAAACAATGACAGAGAAGCTTTAATAGATCGCTAACAAACTCGTAATTAACTCATTGACTTTGAGCATTTTGACTGATTTTATCAAGAGCCACAGAATAGTTTGTGCTATGACTATGTAAACACCGAACACACCAAAAGAAAGAGTAGACTCTCTTCTTTCATCAGGAAAATTTTTTTTGTTTCTACCTTATTCCGTTCTTCCTGGACTTGCGTCTCACCGGCGACATGTTCTCTCATAGCGAACCGTTAGCTTTTTCTTATTTGCCTACAGTTTATGCTCATCTCCCATCAAAAGTGGCACTGCCCCCTAGAGGGTCAATTTGTTACTACATACTCTGTCTAGAAGCCGATATTTACGGACAAGCTTTAGCAGATCGTCCCCCAGACACTCGCGTTGAAAAACATAAAAGACGTCTATGGCCCTTATATTTAAAATAGACGGCCAAACTGCGAACCACTTCCTGAATCAGTCACGTGGTCCGGCTGGTTTGCGAGGCTTCAAACGTGACGACATATGTAATCGACACCAACTTGGATATGGAGGGACTCATCACCAGTTCTCCTTCTCCCTCCAGATCGACCGGCGCTGCTCCCGCTGTAACAAAGAGGGGATGATCTACCACACCAGGCAGATGCGATCCGCCGACGAGGGCCAGACCGTCTTCTTCACCTGCACGCACTGCAGGTGGCTGCCGTTATCCCGGGGGGGTGTGGGGGGGGGGGTCCGGGGTTCCGGGTCCTGACTCTGTTTGTGCTCCTGCAGGTTCCAGGAGAAAGAAGACTCCTGAAGGACCCGCCGGGCTCCAGGAGGAAGGCCATTCTGCTCCGGGTGGATATGTTCAGAGGCTGCTGGTTAAAATGGATGTCCACCTCAGTCCAGCCTGTTTATGGATGTGTGGGAGCCCTCAGTGGGACGTCCACAGGGTCCTAAAACACACAGTGATGAGTAAAGTGAGCTGTAGAAATGCTGCTGTGTTTCATGTCAGATATAAAACAGCTAAAACACACTTGATTAGAATGAAAGCTTACAAATATTAAGTTCTGCTCAAGCCTGAATGGATTTGATTCAGATGTGTGAGTGATGGGAAACATCTAAAACTTTAAGGGCTGTGTGGGATGAAGCATCACTCTTTAAATGTAAGTGCTTGAATTGGGAATGTGTGTCAAAAGAAAGACATGTATACATTGAAAAAAGCCTGTTTTTTTTCACTTGCTTATAATTATTATTTGATAATGCCTGTCATTCATTAAATTCCATTTGTTTTTGCTGGAGAGCATATAAATCTACAAATAACTGGTGTCTTTATTGTTGTTTAGAGGCTGGATGGAGGCAGTTTCGTGCCATCTCACCAAATGGTTTTATATGTACTTATGTGGAAGTTCATGCTGCACTCAGACACTGTTTGGGGAACAGAATTTACCTCCATCTAGTGCAGCAAATAGAGGCGGTACTCGCGCTCTTTCTACTCTAATCCAACGCATTTTCTTTGTTATATATATCTTTTATCGCTTCAAATAAGCTCACAAACTACCTTGTCGGCCGCGTTTGTTTACTCTAAATTCATAAACAGTGCGTTTTTACAAATTTCTCTATCTGGAATCTGAATGTCGGTTCGGGTGTGGTTGTGTTGCTCCTGACTCGTACCACACTGCATGATCGAAACTGTTATATACTTAATATTTTTTGTTGTTTATTTTAGCGGTTGGTGTGTGGTCTCTCAGGTTTTGAAAATCAGCCGACAACTCTAAAATTGTGCCATGTGAACACGGCACGATTTTTTAATTAGAAATAGATTAACATGAATATATTTCAAATAGACTCACAAGCTCTCTCTTGCTGACCACTGCCCTGACGCTCAAACGCTGTAACGTTTAGACATCCCTTCAAAATAAAATACAGATATGTCGCAAAAATGAGTATAAAGAACATTTTTATTTTTAAGAACATTTTAACTCATGACAACGACACATTAATGAGAGCCCTGAGGTTGTTTCTCTCCAAGTAGACGGTCCCATCTGGGATTGATGGGGGATAGCGACACTCGAAGTGTGTTGCTTATGTCCAGCCTATTCCGTTGTTTTGTTTTGGTCACTGCAGAAAGCCCCGCTTCACATAGATATGATGTCGGAAATAGCAACAGGGTTTTCAGTGCTGTGGTGGCGATGTCAGGGTATTCTGCCCTGACTTTAATCCAGAACACGGGCAGAATTGCTGTCTCAAACATATTTTTAAGGCCGCCGTCATTTGCGATCTCCACTAGCTGATCTTCTTCTTGCACAGACATGCTACATTGACCTGGTTTGTTAAGAAATGGGTCGCGGATCCATTCCTTGCCAGTTCGTGGGTCTTTTGTGGTTGGGAAGTAGCGTTCAAACTCCTTTAAAAGCAAAGAGAGGTGATCCTGCACCAGCTGAGAAAATGAAGGCTCAGGCTCATTCTCACCCAAAATCCCCGCTAGCGTTTGAAACATGTCCAATATGCCTTTGTTCACGCGCCGTCCCCACAAATCCAATTTGGCTTTAAATGCAGCTACTTTATCTGCCAACTTGAAGACAGTTGTCATCTTTCCTTGAAGTGACAGATTGAGTTCATTGAGCAGGTTGAATATGTCGCACAGATAAGCCAATTTCGCGACCCATTCTTTATCACTGAAATGTGCTTCCAGCGGCGACTTCTTTTCTGAGAGAAATCTTTGCAGCGTTTATCGTAATTCAAACACTCTGGCCAGCGATTTTCCTCGGGACAACCATCTTATTTCAGTGTATAAGAGAAGGCGCCTGTGCTCTGCGTCCATCTCCTCACAAAGTTCCTCAAAGAGGCGAGAGTTAATGGCTTGTGCTTTGACATTGTTAATAACTTTAACAACATCATTCAATACGCTGCTCAGTTCTGGCGGCATTTTTCGGCTTGCCAGCATTTCCCTGTGAATAATACAATGTGTAGATTCACATTCAGGTGCAACGTCCTGAATCCGAGCAGTTAAACCAGACAGCCGTCCGGTCATAGCAGCAGCTCCGTCTGTGCATATGCCCACACAAGAGGACCATTTCAGTTTTTTTGATATATAGCCATCCAGCGACTTGAAAAGTTCTGCGGCGGTGGTGTTGGTTGGCGACGATAATGCACATAACATATCCTCGTGCACCTCCTCCTGATAAATATATCGCACATACACAAGTAGAATTGCCTTGTTGTCAACATCTGTACATTCGTCTACCTGGAGGGCGTACCACGGTGATTTATTAATCCTCTCCAACAGTTGTGTCTCAATGTCTTCAGCTATTTCTTCAATGCGCCGAGTCACGGTGCTAGCCGACAGAGGCACCTGCTCGATCTTTTTAACAGCAGCCTCTCCTAGTAGTTCAAGGCAAATGTCTTTAGCGGAGGGCAAAATCAATTCTTCACCAATAGTAAATGGCTTTTTGGCCTTAGCAATACGATGAGCGACCAAGTACGATGCTTTCAGGGCATTTGCATTTACTGTTGTGGTGGCCCTCAGTAATTTCTTCTGTCCATCGTGTTCTTGTTTTCTTCTTTCAAAATACTCCAGCGGCTTGTCTTTTAATCCGGGATGTTTTGATTCTAAGTGCCGAAGCAATTCTGACGGCTTCATTGCCTCATTAGCAAGCCGGTCACCACATATGACACAGAGCATATGACAATCACCTACCGGGATAAATCCATATTTCAAGTAGGACTCCTGGTATTGTCTGTTAAATGTTTTTTTTCTTTTCTTGCAAGTGGGCTCCTCTGCCTCTTCACTGACCACTTTCCCCTTTGTAAAAAAACTTTCCAAAGATAACTGCTTATTACTCATTTTGCCTGTTACTTACTCCCTGTTGGCGCGCAAGACAAC